GCTAATACTGGTACGGTGGAACAAGTTATCATGCATTGACCAAGTGATGATGCATTTGCATCGGTTGGAATTGTTCTTTAAGGAATTGAGCAAAAGTATAATTACTATTTTTTTAACGCTAACCACAAATATTTGGAGAATAATTTGGAATGGGAACATTTGGATGGCTCTAGGGGCTCTCACCTTCCAGGAATAAATCTTCACCTATATTGAAAACAGTAAATTATTTACTTATAGTTTTATTGGATATGCACACTAATTTTTTTTATCATATACATTATATACTAATGTTTTGGTATGTTCGTGTTTTTTTATAAAAAGTGTTTCGGTACTAAGTACATTTAGAAAGTTCGCCATAGCTATAATTTTGTGCTGGGTCCGCCACTGTATCTTTGTATACCTAGTGCTTCTTAACCTGTGTTTTAGCTATATCCAAACTATTTGTATTTGTCAGTTCTTTACTATGTAGTGTATACTATATTATATATGTTAGCACGTAATAAAATGATAGATTTAAATTATAGAGCCTAACTTGTTTAATGAGCCAGCTGGCGAGCTAGACTTTTAGTTTGTTAGGGTTAACGAGCCAAGTCGAGCTGATTTGTTAAGATAATGAGCTCAAATAATTAAACCGAACCAAATCGACTCGAGTTGTTCGTTATCCGCCCTCGCATATATATAACTTGTGAACTATATACACATATAATGTTGTCCTTGCTGAACAACTAGGGACGGAGTGAGAGCGAAATAGAGGGTGGTGCCACTTGCCTAATTTACTCTACTTTAGATTAAGTTTAAGCTGATACGGGTGCCTAAGTTTGTATTGAGAGGGTGCATACGTGGTGAAAATAGATGAAGTATAGCTAAAAAATTTTCTTGACCGAGTTCCTAAGCACCCCTAATATATACTAGTTCCGCCCTTGTGAACAACAAAACAGGAGAAAATTATGGCACTCAGCAGCAACTCGAATTTCCTTCATAATGTGGAGGACCCGGCCGATTATTGCCCTGACCTTCATATCATTGCACATGAAAGTTCGAGATGAAAAAAAGTCGTGGAAAAGACCAGCTCTAGCACGCAGGAAAAGCGAGAAAGACAAGCAATCTACCATACCCCATCCATCAACACTGCAAACTGTCGACGACGCAGGATGCATGCAACAGCAAGTAGTAGATCCCACACACACAAAGACGAAAGCTGAGAGATGACGACCTAGCTTGCAAGAAATCATTGTCAAGAGATCGATCGATGACACGCAGATAATGGGAGAACGGTGATATATATCACTATATATCAGAGTTGGAGTTCAGAGCAATGCAAAAAGGTTGAAGCTTTGTCTTAACCAGACATCCTTTCATAAGTGTCCCTCCTGCACTGGGGCCTACTTCTCCCGTCCCACGAAAAATAAAGTAATCTAGGAGTGGATGTGACACATTCTATCCAGATTCGTTATATTAGGATATATCACATCTAGTACTAGATTGGTTTTTCATGGAATGGAGTATGTAGCTAGCTAGTGCATTGTTACCGGTAACTACTCCTTTGTTCTTAAAATATATGCATATCTAGATTGTTTAATTAGTAAAGATTAAGTATAAGAGAAAAAATGTTCATTTAGTCATTTTATTGGTTAAATTTTGAATTGCTTGGATTTTCCTTCTAATAAGAACATGAATGGCTAAAAATGAATTACCATGTATTGAAATCGGTGTCCCAAAATATTTATATTAGGCGGTATAAAATTTGAATTCTAAAAATACTTATAATTAGGAATGGAGGGAGTATGATGGATATTAAGCACTGGCCAGGTCAGAAGAGTTCAGAGCAATGCAAAGGTTGTAGCATTGTCTTAACCTGGCATCCTCTCATAAGTGTCAGTCCTGCAATATAATGGGGTCTAGCTAGTGAATGGCTAAGGTAATTATCATGCACATTATTATATTAAGCACAGGCCAGGCAGAGGCCAGAGGAGGAGGAAGAGGACCACCTGTGTCCTCCATGGTTGTGGCCATGCTTTGTGACTGGATGGGCAGACACACCCAGATGCCTAGCAAATAGCTAGCTCCCATCCATCAAGAACCTCTCCAGTTATAGTTAGCTAGCAATCCTAGAGGGACAGGAGACATGCATGCATGATACATGGGTCTCATCACAAAACATGGTACTACTCCATCACAAAATTTCACTTATATATATAAATCTGGATATGTTTTATGTGCGGTGTATAGCATTTTTGTGAAAACCAACGGCCCAACACAATTCTTCGATGATCATGTATAAAAGTGAACTTATTTACACTATACTTACCATGGATGTACATATGCTTAAAGAGACAAAGACAATGAATGTACACATTCTTAAAAAGACGAAGACCAGTGACACTTATTGAAAATGTATCCATATGTGTACATAATATATGCACTCACGACTCCATCACTCTGCCATCAATGTTTTTTCCGTGATATATTATATTTGGTTATAACTACCTTTAAAGTCGTCTATACTAGTAGTATTTTAGTATTTTATCATCAGTATTATCATTAGTAGGAGTTGATTTATGAGTTCTATTATTAGTAGAAACCTTTTCTATTACCAATATGAAACGAATCCATATCCCCATTATATCAGAGAAAAAAAATGAACAACCTGAATTTAATCGAAAGACCATCATACATCCAGTTACTGACAGTCTTGCATTACGATGTAAACTGATTTAAGCCAAATATCTAGCCTAAACATTATTGATCATTGTCGTCTCTACTACTTTAAAAGCACATTCGTTTTTCTTCCCTTCCCTATCACACCCTTCATGTATATAAAAAAAATTCCCTTCCCAAAACTGCTTTCACCTCTACCTATAAAACACAATGTGGTAGAAAAAAATACCAAGAAAAAATTCCAGATCAAATCAAACCACGTTTCTTAGATCCCATTACAACGCAGGAGCATATGTGACTAGTTCTTTCTTAAAAAATAGGTATAGGGACTATTACCTGTCCAACGTAACGTACTTAAAATATCTCATTGTTGACAAAGTGGCATCTTGTTTCAAAGTGGAGTTAACACCGTCTCTTAACATGCCTCATATATATATGTTTAATTACCTGGCCCCATAAGTATATATGTCCAATACCACACGCTGGTACAGTGGTACCTGTATACATCAAGACGTGCTTTTTTCCCAATCAAATAAACTTTCATGCAGGTGTATAAATTAATTTTACAATAACCTTAAACTGCCCTAAACAACTCTAAAATCCTTATAAGAAGAATGTACATTTTCCATACACGTAAAAAAAATGCAAACGGACTGTCACGCCCCCGCGTCGTCCCCCGTGGGCGACTCGGGCGGCGAAACCTAGCCGCCGCCGCCGCCGCCGCCACCCCTCTCCACCCTCCTCTCTGCCTCGCCACCGCCTGAGCAAGTGGCCGGCAAAGCCGGCGGCTCGCGAGGATGGCGGCGGCAGGGCTCGCGGCGGCGGCCACCCCCGGTTCTGGCGCGGGCGGACCTAAAGGTGGAGCTGGCCGGATCAGCGTCGGCGTCGAGTTGGGCGCACGGGAGAAGGTAGAGGCAGGGAAGGACGAAGCCGGCGACCTCTCTTCGGGCGGGCACTCGGGGAGGGGAGCGCCCACGACGGGGCGGCGGTGGCCGCCAGATCCGAGCTGCTCCGGCCGGATCTGGCGGGGTGGCGGCGGGGAGAGTGACGGCAGCGGCTGGCGGCGGGGAGGGCGGCAGCAACAACGGCGGGGAGGGCGACGGCGAAGGCAGGCGCGTGCGGTGCCGGCCGATGGTGCTTGCAGGCGTCGATCGATGGTGCATGTAGGCGGCGGGGATGGCGATGGCGTTGGCAGAGGGCGCGAAGGCGGCTGCGGTGGTCCCTACGCGGCGACGACGTGGTGCTCGGCGGCAACGGCAGCGGTCTCCCTCAGATCTGCGCCTCTTGGCCGGATCTGGAAGGTGGCTGGTGGTGGTGGTCGGCGACGGCGGCTGACTTGCGACAGCTGGCGACGGCAGTTGGCGACGATAGCGACGGTGGTGGTCGCGGCAGTTGGCAGCGACGGTGTCGGCTGACGACGCCGATGGAGGACTTGGCGGCGACGTGGCAGACGGCGACAGCGAAGCGGCCGTTGGCAGTGGCGGCTGTTCGCGGAGGTGGTGGCTGGCGTCGGTGGCAGCGGCGACAGCAGTTGACTTGCGGCGGCTGTGACTGTGGAGGCGCTGGCGATGTCGGCGGATGTGGGTCGCTGGTGGCAGCAAGTGGAGGTGCGCGGTGAGGATGGCGACGGCGAGGTGGCTAGGCGTTCAACAGCAGCGGCTGTGGTGGTGGTGGCCGTGATCGCGGTCACCAGAGGCATGGTGGCCTCAGACGGCTAGCCGAGGGAGTGGGAGACGGCTACATTTGGCCGGCGCGGCATTGTCTGGTGGAGGGTCAGAGACCGGCTTGGCGCAGAGAGGCGCAGCCGATGGCAGCGGAAGCCGACTCGGCGCGAGAGGCGCGGGCGGCGGAGATGGAGGCCGGCTTGGCGCGAGAGGCGCGGCCGATGGAGGAAGGCCGGATTGGCGCGAGAGGCGCGTCCGGTGGAGGAGGCCGGCTTGGCGCGAGAGGCGTGGCCGGCGGTGGAGGAGGCGACCTAGGTGTGAGGAGGAGCTGCTGGTGGGTGTGGCGCGATCTTCGGCGCTCGAAGGCTGGCTGACGGGGGACGCCGGTGCAGGGGTCCCACAAGTCGGCAGAGCTTGTGTAGTGGTGGGGCATCGGTGCGTCAGTCGTGGATTTGCATGATCTCGTCTGGGTCCCTTTGTTGGTCTAGTGGCGGTCGGTCACGCTTAGCGGTGGCCGGTCCGGTGCTAGCCTTCTCCTAGGTTTGTGTTGGCGATGTCGGTGTGTGGGTGGTGGTTTATTTTTCCTTTTTTCTGGTTACGATCTTCCAGGGTTGTAATCTTGTAATTTTTTCTTGCTCTATCAATAGAACTTCGCACCGTCTCGTGCGAGTCGTTCAAAAAAAATGCAAACGCGTAGGGGAATTGATGCGAGAAACGGCTAGGGATCTTTCGGCTAGCTCCCAATGTGATGGGTTCGCGTCTTTTTTTAAGGGGAATTGATGCACCTGACAGACCATAGGCATGCAGCCGCAGTAGTACGCAGCTGCTCACGTACTTTGGTCTCTTGAGCGATCACCATAAAACCAACACCAACCCTCGCCCTCATCTTCTCACACTCACAAAACTAAACTGAATATTTTCTCTAGCTCACTGCACAGCTCAGTCTCGCGACGGACGTCGTCATGGCCGCGCCGCATGGCATGCATGGCGTCGCCGCGGCGGCGCCGGACGCCACCATCCGCCTCTTCGGCCGCGACGTCGTCTCCAACGACGACGCTGTCGTCGTCGTCGTCGACGGCCAGCTGCCCAAGGAGGAGGCGGAGGAGGAGGCAGGCGGCGGCGCGGCGGCGGCGGCGGGGGAGACGAGGAGGTTCGAGTGCCACTACTGCCGCCGCAACTTCCCGACGTCGCAGGCGCTGGGCGGCCACCAGAACGCGCACAAGCGGGAGCGCCAGCACGCGCGGCGCGCGCACCTCGAGGCCTCCCTCGCCGCCGCGCACTACCTCGGCCAGTCCGCCCACCTCGTCTACGGCGGCGCCGCCCTCTTCGGCTACGGCGGCCACGCCGCCGCCGTGTCGCCGCAGTACGGCCCGGTGTGGGCGAGCTCCGCCGTGGCGCCGCCGGGGCTGTACGCCACCTCCATGGGCATGGCGCGGCCTGCAGCCTACGGCGCCGGCGTGGACGTGTCCGCGCTGTGGAGAGCCTCGTCGTCGTCGTCGTCGTCGCCGCCGATGATGGGGAGTGGTGGTGGTGGTGCTTTTGGTACGGTGGCCGGCGGCGGTCGGCACGGCGAGGCAGCGGCGGCGGCGTTGGTGGGGTGTCGAGCCGGTAAGGATGAGAACGTGGTGATGAGCGTTGTGACGTCACTGCCTTCGCTGCCGTCGTGGCAGCTGCCGGCGCCGGAGAAGATGGGTAGGTCTGAGCTGGGTCAGGAGGCCGGGGTTGTGAGCTTGGAACTCCGTTTGTAGTTCTTCAATTAACTTGCTTTTATTAGGTTAATTGCCACGGTCTCGATCATTTTCATAGCAAGGGTTTTAATTTCTTTGATTTGATTTGCTTCTTGTCATGTGTTAGTGTGCGGCTTTTGTCACAATTACTGAATGTATAATGCTTACTTTTATCTGTTTTTTGAGGTAAAGAATTCGAAGCTATTTTGTTTTAAATTTTAGCTAAACCTAATTACATCTTGCATTTGTTCTCGCATTTGCTATGTGCCGAAGGGCTGAGATTCTGAGAATAATTTTGCAGGAAGGATAGATCAATGTGTGATGTATCACTCTATAAACATGTTGTAAGATTAAATTCATACAAGCAAAAACAAAAATTACAAATTTAAATGCGAATAGTGCGTACAATTAACAATCCAATTTGCTTTTTATTTGTATGTATGTAATTTGAGGTTACATGTTTTGGAGTGATATGTCACATAGTTTCCATTTTTTGAGCGATATGCAAAAATACGAGAACATCCTTTGAAGGATGAATAAATTTTCCCTGAAGACCCTTTGTATTGCACTATTAATAAGAAAATGTGAGCGTCTCAGGAATCACTTGAAACCACACGCCCTCACTGCTGGCTAGCAAGCACATCTCTTTCCAAAGTAATGTCAATAAAAATTAGCCCTGAAAAATAAAAACAAGAAAAAGAGTAAAAAAAATAAACTCAAAAATGGCTCACTGTTTTCATCTCATTCCCGTTACTATCCTGGAAACTATAAAAGTTGGGAACCATCTACTCCCTCCATCCCATATTATAAGAGATTTTGGGTTGATGTGACCCATCCTAATATTATGAATCTGAACAGAGTTGTTCAGATTCGTAGTATTAGGATGTACCAAATCACCCAAAATCTCTTATAATATGGGATGGGAGGGAGTACTTGTTTTTTGCAATAACATGCATCATGCTAGATCTTAATGGTTTCTTCCTTTTATTATGTGTGTTGATGTGAAAACACGAGGCCTGGGAGATCTGCTTAACTCCAGTGCATGTCCAAAGGCTTGCCTTTAGGTATGTGAGCGTGCCAGTTGATTTGATCCTGCAATCAACAAGAAATAAAGACAAAGAAACCACGGTTAAATCCATAAACGATAGCCGATCAGCTAGATGCGATGACATATCATTTACCTTTGAGCCGATGTCATATGTGAATCGATTGGCAGTCATTAATAAGCAAGGAAAACTAAATCTACTCGATCGGCTATAGATATTAACAATATATAATCTTTATGTCGATATGTACTTAAATCAAGTGATTGGGATAGATCGGTCGCCATGCCGAGACAGTATAAATCACTTAGATCAAAATATACATTAACAACAAGATTATATATGTTCATAGCCGATCAGATAGATCTAGCATGTACCGGCTAATACTCCGATACCACTCTATATTAACATGGCAATCAAGCATATAAGATATACTTAAACGCAACAATATCTTAACATAAAAGACAGATTTAACATGGCAATCAAGCATATAAGATATAAAGTAGTTAAATCAGGTAAGATCGGCTGAAACCCCGATGCTACCCCAATTGGCAACCAGAAAGCAAGCTAGAGATTGAGATTCTAATCACGACTTATAAGGTCAAATTCAACTGATATAGCTATAAGTATGAAAAGAAAGACAATATCTAGACAATCAAGCCTTTGATTGTTTCATAGGGTGGTGGATATCCTATATAATCTAAGCCAACGTTGGTATCTAACCTGATCGGCTGCCTTCTAGCGACAGATGTTAGCCGACTGGAGGTTATATAACAATATTGCCAAAGATTATATAGAATATATGATAACTCGACGAATTACATAAACAAGATTAGAGTATCATAAAGATGGAAGCACTAATCCCGAGAAGGCAAGCCGCCATAACAAGTTTTACCTCTAGTTGAATATCGAAACCGATGCAGCTCAACCCGAAAGCAAGAACTCGTCGGAACAAGATGAAAGTAAAGGGTGGCGATGCGCCGAGATTGTATTGAACGTGTGTTGTTGTATTACATGGGGCTCGGGGTCTATTTATACCCGAGATTATAAAATATGTATGTGTCGGACACGACTTTTATCTCTAACAAACTCTAGGATACCATAAGTCTTTGTGGTAGACTTTTACCCAAACTTATCTCTAAGGAAATTACATGAAATATCCTAATTAATAGATACAATTGCCTTTCCAGGACTCTATTCATGCATGGCAATCCTCATGAAGCACATTAACTCAACCCGATAACGTGTACCGAGTCACATTGTCGGAATCGGCTTAATCGGCCAACCTTGTCCGACTCGAACTCTGCCGATCCTAGTCACAGCCGATTCGGACTTAGCCGATTTCTGCTCTGTTTCCAGAACAATCTCTGTCTTGGATTCCGCTTCGGTTTGATCTTCATCTCCGACACTGAGATTACCAAATTAATTTGGTCGTTAACAATGTGCCCGTGCCAAAATTAATTCAATATAAATCAAATCAAATTTCTCTAATGAAATTGGTTAACTATAAAGATAGTGTTATTTTCTCTAACCAAAAAGTATTTCCAAAGGATATGTAAGGTTGTGTTTGATTATAAGGGTTGGGAACTTGTCCTCCACATATATAAATCCTAGCGATTCATTAACTCATGATTAATTAAGCATTATCTAAAAGCTTTAAAAACAAATTAATATGTTTTTCAAATATATATATATATATATATATATATATATATATATATATATATATATATATATATATATATATATATATATATATATATATATATATATATATATTTGAAAAAGAACACTGCTTAGCAGTTAGGGAAGCGTGCACACGGAAAACGATGGAGTAGAAGTTGAAAATTTGACTTGCCAAACACACTCTAAATCTGGTTGCAAAAACCATTTCAACCTCTAACTCATAATGGGCTTGATCTAACGCGGTAGAACTAACCTAGGAGAGAGTTAACCCTAACCTTGCTTTGGGCTACCCGAAAATCCTTCTAAGCCTGAACCTTTCATCTAATTGTTAGGGTCCCTAGGAGAGAGCTTTCTGAAGATATCATGATGCGTTGTAGTCGGTTTTACGGTTGAGGCTTGTGGGACACGATTGAAACTGGATTCTTAGATCATAGACCTAAAGTGAACTTAGGAGGGGTCAGGCTTAGGGACCCTTTCTGTTTCGGCCTAACTAGCCGAACAGAAGGCCTAGCCCATCAGGCAGCACAGCCAACCTCTTTTCTTCCACCCTAGCGACCCAGGCAAGCAGACCGGGCCAGCCCAGCCTGTAGGCGGGCCACCCTTTCCTCTCCCTTTACTGGGCCACCAGAAAATCAGCAAGCCCGGCCCAGCCGTAAGCTCTCGACCCAGCCGGGCCAGCTCATTTACCAGCATGATCTTTTTGCTTTAAATCGAATTTGCTATATATTTGTCGACAAATTTTTCTCTAAAAATTTGTCAGATGTAAGTACAGTACAATCGTAGTGTAATTACACTGTAACTTGCATATAATTACACTGTAACTATAATATAACTTGTATGTAACTTTCAAGAATCTCTTGGTAATATGTTATTTCAGTAAAATAGAGGTCGTGGGAACAAATCCATTCACATATATGTGTGCTATGATTTTTTTTTCTTCCTCACCAGAACAAATCTTGTAATAGATCTAACGATTCAAAATTATGTGAAACTTACATACAAGTTACACTGTAGTTACATTCAAGTTACAGTGTAATTACATATAAGTTACAGTGTAATTACACTACGATTGTACTATAATTACATCTGTCAAATTTTTAGTAGAAAATTTGTTGACAAATTTATAGGTGGTTCCGCTTTAAATTTGTTGTCAAAAATTAGCAAAGGTATGTTCCATGTAACTACAGTGCAACTTATATGTAGCTTTTAGAAAACCTTAGGAGACATGCTATTTTTGTGAGAACAGAGGTAATGGTACTGAATCTCCTTAATCTGTGTTGGTTGTGATTCTTTTTACTACCTCCATGCACGAATTTTAAAGCAAATTGAAGAGTTCAAAATTATATTATAGGTACATACAAGTTAAAAAAACATACAAGTTATAATATAATTACATTATGATTATATTATATTTACGTCAGTCAAATTTACCAATAATTATATAGCAAATTCGCTTTTATGTCATCAAACAAAAAAAAGAGTCGAAAAATAATAATAATAAAAAAAATGGCCCACCGTTTTCATCTCCTTCCTTTTACTATTCTAGGCTTCTAGCAAAGCTTCGCCAATCGAGGCGACGCTTAAAATGGGAGAGCCCCGGAGGCGCGCGCAACCGCACCACGCTCGCCGGCGCCACCGCGCCACGAGTTCCACGGCCGCGGCGTCGTCGTCGTCGTCGTCTACGGTCCATCACCGCCCCCGATCGATGCACCCCGTGCCGCCGCCGGTGGCCGCGCCTCCTCCCGCGCGCCGCTAGGTCTCCCGCACGCGCCTGCATGCGGTATTGCGGTGGCCGTGGCGGTGGTTGACTGACCCCATGGCGTCGCGGCACCGGAGGGGGGCTTTCCCCGCGGGGGCGAAGGCGGCGCCCGAGGCCGAGGCGGCCAAGGAGAGCGTCGCCGTCGCCGTCCGCTTCCGTCCCCTCAGGTTTGGGTCGTTTGCCTGCAGGTTGATTGTTTTTTGGGGGTTTGGAATCTGGGGGGCAATGGTGGATTGATTTGGGCGGTGGTTTTCATGGTGCGTGTGGGGAAGCCCGCGGGAGGTTCGGCGAGGGGAGAAGATCGCGTGGTACGCGGACGGCGAAACCGTAGCGCGGAGCGAGCAGTCCAACCTCGCGTATGCCTACGGTATGTGTTTGATTCGGTACGGGGGACAGGGGGAGTTATTGGTGGAACTTGTGCTATTTCAAAATGGAGTAGCTGCTTTCTCAAGATATATCAATGTGGAATTTACTGGATTTTACTGACTCCCCAATTGTATAATTGTATTGGATATGTGGTGGCCTGCTTGATGTAGGAAGTAATAACCAATATATTCATCAAAGTTCAAACTAGTTAAAGGGTAACAACTGTAGTCTTGGTTAATTTTTATATGTGCTTGATAAATACATCAACCTGGATATTTGGTACTGCTTGATCTTTATGGTTTGATTGCACTTGTTAATACATGAACTATATCACATTTTTCATGCAAGGCATTGACTGTGTTGCTGTCACAATACAAATAAAAGATGTTGTTAATGATTGGGTGACCATGCATATTGGGGCAAAATATGCCTGAACACTGTAATTTTTGGCTGTTTCATTGCATATGACATATAATTTTCACATGCGATGGTATTTTCCAATTCACACATCTTTATGACGGCACTTATCTAACTTTCTCAGTAAACATTTGAGGAATTCATGTTTACCATCCCATCTAAATTGAATTTCTTGAATTTGCTCGGTTACATTTAATGCAGTATCAAATTTAGAAGCCCTAATTTGCTTTTGATTTCTTCTTCAACTCACTGTTTATAATACATGAAACTCATATCAAGCCCACCTAGGTATATATAATATTTGAGGTAACTATGTTCAATGCAAAGATAAAATACTTCCTTTCTGAGGTAACTAATAGAGTACCCACAAGACTAACAACACTCTTTTTTTTTTTTTAAAAAAAAAACAATTATCAGAGGCTAATACAAGATTTCATATCCAGATCGAGTCTTTGGACCAACAACAACAACACGTCACATATATGATGCTGTGGCTCAATATGTTGTTAATGGTGCCATGAAGGGAATAAATGGTATTGATCTTTTGTTCTCTTATTCCTATATTTCTTGTTATTTAAATAAACTTTTATGGTTACAAGAATGAAGAATAGTTGTTGCTCTTTTAGCAGACTTTGAAATGATTCAATTGTTTATTTGAGTTTCAAAAATGTTCAAGATATGCTGGGAACATAACTGAAGGCTTTGCGGTTTGGGAAAAAAAATGATCCATCTGAAATTTCACATATAATATGATCTTCAGTGGTGAAAGATGCCGCAACTATTTATTGCTTCTATTATTTGGGATGAATGTCAAACTTCTGCTTCTTGTTCTCTGCCACAGGTACAATATTTGCATACGGGGTTACAAGCAGTGGAAAGACACATACAATGCATGTAAGAACATGTGGATCAAGGAAGTTGCTTTAAATACTTATGTTTTCAATAAACATGGTAGTTAATGACTGATTCATTTGAGTATACTTCATAAATTATAATGGAAGTCATCCAAAATTTTCTGGGTAATATGGACATGTGATTCCAGCTTGGTGCTGAGTACTAAACATTGTCTGTAAATTACACTGCAATCTAGATTTGCATTACCTTCCATTTCCATTACAGATCCAACATAACTTTTTATTTAATTTTACTTGACTGTACATCAGATATGCTGCTTACTCCTGTAATCCTGTAGAGTTAGTTTTCTGCCAAATAATCTGGTTATAAGTTGTTCCACTGATCCTTTCATTGAAGAACGATAATTGTATCTCTTTCTTGAAGCGTGCCATTCGCGTTAGTATGTATTTTTCTTTACTTTTACTAGTAGACTGTAATGCTTTACATATTCTAGAAACCATTTATTTCTGAAGTTCTTCATCTACACTCATTTAATGAGCAGGGTGATCAAATATCCCCAGGGGTAATACCTTTGGCTGTGAAGGACATTTTCAATATAATACAAGAGGTAGTCTTTGGTAACCATACCTATGACCTGTCCACCATAATTCAATCAAGCCTTTGTCATGGCGTGATCTATGGGTTTTTTCTTATATTTCTACTAATGTTTTATCTGTAGACCCCAAATCGAGAGTTCCTCCTTCGTGTATCATACTTGGAAATATATAACGAGGTTTATCATCATCCCAGTTTGTCTATTTTCTGTCATCGTGATAATTTTAATTCTAAGTACTCCCTCCGTCCCTATTTAGAGGGCGTGTTATTTTCTGGTGATGTCCCATTTTACAGGGCGTGGTTGTTTTTCTGCTGATATTCTCCCGGGAGTATCCCTTCACATGCATGTGAATGACCCTTGGATACCTGGGCTTAATAACTGAATGATGCACCATTTGGCCAGCCGCATGATGCGTGGGACCAGGAGGATTAACTTGTACATGCATGTAGCCGTTACAAACCATTCACATCCCGTTTAATTAGGTGCAATTTAGGAAGAAAGTAGTTTGTATGCGAGCCCTTGGTCTTGGTTAAAAAAATTTGGCGCCCTCTAAATTGGGACAGAGGGAGTAGATCCTATGTACCTTTCTGGTTGTTTTCATAAGAAACAACACCTAACCATAGTTTATATTTAAAAATATCAACTAAAGAAAAGAGAGAAAATAGTATAGCCACTGCAATCCTTTTTCCTTCCTTTTTTTTGGGGTAAATTAACAACTTGTAGCCAGAGTTGCTTCATGTGATTGAAAAACTAGCTATCTGTGCATGCCTGTTTTACTTACATTTTTTTGCCAAAAAAGTTTTGGAGCTGCTTTTTGGAAAAAAATGAATGCCATATTATTTATGTTGAGTGTGTTGTTCTGAACTAATCAACTTACATAATCTTGCTGCTTGTTTTATATTGTATTAATTAGAGATATTTACTTATTACAGGTTGTCAATGATCTACTAAATCCTGCAGGGCAGAACTTACGGATTAGGGAGGATCTTCAGGTATGGAAAGCCTCCTTTGTTAAGTAATGAAGTCTTTGTCATACTACCATTTAGTCTTAGTCTTCACAATCTTCACAATCTGTTGTACACTTTCACTTAGACAGTTACTGGCCGATGTACTATGGGATCGTTTTGATCCACAAAGTGTGGATACTTATGAAAACTCACTATTAATGTCGGATACCGTGGAATTTCCATGATTTCAAAAGGAAGAGAAATAATTGGCAATACCTCCAATTCCCTGTTAGGTAGTTGGTCTATGGTGGATGTAAAACTCGTGGATGATTTTCTTTCCTTAATGGAAATAGGGGGGCATCCCTTTCATAAAAAGATAAGTAGTGCTATGCATGTGTCCAAATGTGGGCCATAATTGAGTTAATTTGACCAGTGGAATATGCCTAATTCATTCAGAGTTCCCAATATAGAAATCACTTGATGGAGGAATAAGTATCTGATTTGATCGCGTGTCAGATAACAAATAAGCTGTGAATTGCTGGATTCATTGTATTATTGCTGGATTCGTGTCAGATAACAAATAAACTTAGTTCAAAACATTGTATTATCGTTTTGAACTAAGTTGCTGATTATTCTTGACTTTTGCTTATTACATCTCAGGGAACAATTGTTGAAGGGATAAAGGAAGAAGCAGTGTTATCTCCTGTACATGCTTTGTCCCTTATTGCAGCTGGAGAAGGTTTTTTTTCCTCTCTAAGGTTTTAGATGTCTGTTTTATGCACATTTTATTATCATGATTGCTTGCCAAGGATAATCCTTAATTCACAAACTTATCTTCTTTTCGATAGACACCAATTGAACTATCATGTTACAAAGTTCAATCCTCATAATAGACAAGGTGATGTGAATTGGTAGTTAAAGTAATTGGAGACCATCTTTTACCTGCCTTAGATTTCTTATGAAATAGGCGATAGAGCTTAGTGCATATGTAGTGTGTCATGAATCAACTCATATAAAACTACAGTGAGTAGTTTATATGAATTGCAAACATGCTACTTCGTTTTTGCTTTGGATGAAGGGTTACATCTTGCATTGCCGTTGTTAAAGGGAATAACCTTTTTTTGAGAGAGATGACTAAATGGATTACCACTGAGAGCTAAAAGTGTAAAAGGTCACTTACCTGCATCTAAGCAAATTGCTTTGTCGTACCTAGTGAAATTTCTGTTTCATGTGGTGCAATTATTGCATGGCCATGCGTGGTATTCAGTGCAACGGTTGCACATGCGTGGTATTCACCAACATTGGGCTGATGCTAGTATTTTCATCCACAATTCATGATTCCTGCAGTTAATTTTCTTTCCTTAGTTGTTTTTTCAGGAGGTGGCTGGCATATAAGGCCACTGTGTTTGGTTTGTGAAGTCAACCAAGAGATTATTCTGTAGTCTATTCTCTTCCTTCAGTCTTTCAATTTCTTCTTCAAATGCCTTGACTTTATCTTGTTGCCATCATGGAACTGACCAAAGCTCAGGGATTTGAATCCTCATTCAAGCAGGCCCTGTCGGGCCTCTTTGTTACCAATACCTCCCATGATGTTCTGGTACCAAATTGTCAAGGGCCTAGGTTAGGCACCCCTAACTTCAGGAAATAGATGAGAAAACAGAGAAAGGAAGTGAGAAGTTAAATCTTTGATTCTTATCCTGTAAACACCATAGGCAGGGACTCAAATAGGCAGCATAACTGCGACTTTAACCAGCCAGCTAACAATATCCTATCACCTGCCAAGACTAGTAAAGTGGTGGATGAAAGAGGAATTTCATTCTACCTGTAGAACAGAATAGCACAGCTGTTTTGGCTCGTAATAAAGCTAAGGTCCTGATTGAGCAAGATGTGCGGGCACCAGCATAGGCTTAATCCTCATTTGATTTGCAAGAACTAGAGTACTGACCAAACAATATAGCAAGTTGATAACAACTGGACTTCTGGACTTATGTCTTGACTAAATCAACCCTGTTGATCCCCCTTCTGGTGCCAAGGCTTGGTCCTGGACCAACTGCGTTGGGGGCTGCTGATACTGCATTCACCCTGTATGCACATGCCTGCTATTTATTGAACATTTATGCAAACTGATTGCCAGTTGTTCAAAGGAAAATTTTGCTACAGAACATCCCAATTTCGTGGTTTTAGCCCGTAGGACACCGCACGAACTCACGTTTGGGAAAAGACACTCCATAATCGTGGTAATTTGCCAACAGACACTGCGCCGACTAAAATAATGTATTTGTGCTGATAAAGTGCTAAGGGTCCCGATTTTTGATGCGGAGTGACTGAAATACCCTTGCGCCTTTCCGGTGCACCTTGGCTGCTCGTGTTCTTACCCTCGCCCACTTGGACACCACAAAGATCCCTCGGCATCATCGGCATGGGCGCCGGCGCGGCGCGCAGCGAGGTGACGAAGATCTTGGTCTCCACCTGGAGGCTCTGCTGCTGCTCCCCCCTCATCTTGAAGCTCAGTCTGCAGCTTGCCGCCGGAGCCAGCGACGCCTTGAGCACCGTCTGCTGCACCGCATTCGTCCACGCCGCCGGAGCGGCGAGCTGCCCATCCTCCACCGCGGTCTCATCATCCACCGGACACGAGATGAGCACCCCCATCACCGCAATGCAAAATCTCTTTGAAACAAACCAAAATATCATCTTCTGACACCAAAACAACCAAGAACGAGGAACCAATCCAATCACTGCAAACAAGAATACACACTTGGTTGTGTAAAAAAAAGGCAACATTTAAACGCTCACCCACCTTGTTGTTGACCCGGCTAGTGTCTGGGGTCAGTGAGAAGCGTGTAAAGAGCAGGTGAGCAAGGGCATTTCGATCACTTCACGTCAAAAATTGGGACCCCTAGCGTGTCATCAGCACGGATACATTATTTTAATCAGCGTGATGTCCACTGGCAAATTACCACGATTATGGAGTGTCTTTCCCCAAAAGTGAGTTCATGTGGTGTCCTACGGCTAAAACCACAAAATTGGAATGTCCTGTAGCAAAATTTGCCTTGTTCAAATGCACCTTTATACATGTGTAATTTCTTTTCTTAGTATCTGGTGCTTCATATTTTGTTGGGTCTGTAGTACTTGATTGTGGATCAATGCACTTACAGTTTATTGTGTTTGGTCTATTTTTTCAGAGCTTAGACATGTTGGATCCACTAACTTCAATCTGCTAAGTAGCAGAAGCCATACAATTTTCACACTGGTAATAGGAGAGAGAATTGTTTCTGTTTGTACTTAAAAGAAAAAAAAAGTGAATCCCTCTATTTGATGTGTATATATCTCTATTGAGATTGATGCATGTAAATCAGCAAGCAACATCGTGCTTATTTTAGAAAGGAATTAGACTCTTATTAAAAAGACCTGCATTTGACATTGTGAGTGCATCTTTTATATGATTCAATTGATTTTTCATGCAGACAATAGAGAGTAGCCCCCGTGGTCAGTCTAACGAAGCGGAAGCGGTTACCTTATCTCAGCTGGTGGGATGATAATCTTCTCTTCCCCTTTTCTTCTTAGCCCATCACTCTTACTACTAAAATGATATGCACATATGTTACGCACCTGCATGTCTGCATTCCAAATATGTCTGTTTATTTAATCCATATTTGAATTTTATGTATATTCATGCAACCAAAACACAATGGTTTCTTAGTTTTCTTACTCATTTGCAGAACCTCATCGACCTGGCAGGTTCTGAGAGTTCAAGGGTTGAAACTGCAGGAGTACACCAGAAAGAAGGGTCTTATATCAATAAAAGCCTGCTGACTCTTGGAAAGGTAGTCCTCATTTATATAATCGACATTCAATAATGTAAATTTCCACTAATATTGAAATATAGACATGCTGTACTCATGCTACTAAGATTCTGTAAGCCTAGCCATTTCATTGCTTCTGGAATGTATGTGTGGACTGTGGCTTTGTGAGTTTAGACTCTAAATCCTTTCTAAATTTCCAATGCCACAGTCCACAGGTATACTTTCTGCATGCAGTAACTGCTGAGGGAAAGAAGACAATACAGTTTCTTAAGTTTATTCATTTCGTGCAATTTTGTTATTTGATATTTTATAACTTTACCCATTTTTCCAGTGGTAGGAGCTTCCCTTCTTTTATTTGCAAGAATAAAGTTACCCATTTTTTTTATTTTGACTAAAAGAAGTTAGGTTGTATATTTCAGGTGATATCAAAACTGACTGATGAGAAAGCTACTCACATTCCATTTCGAGATTCAAAATTAACGCGGTTGCTAAAGTCATCATTGAGTGGTCAAGGACGTGTTTCTGTAAATTTCTCAGGCACTGCTTACAAGTTAAAATACATTCATTATTTGATCAAATATTTGCATTAATTTTTTTTGGTACAGTTAATTTGCACAGTTACTCCAGCATCAAGCAATTCTGAAGAGACACATAATACATTAAAATTTGCCCACCGTGCAAAGCACATTGAGATCCAAGCAACACAAAATAAGGTAGATATGCTTATTCATCAGAAAATTGTCCCCATTGTTTAATCTCCTGTTAGGTATTTTCTTATTGTTGCAAATACATTCATGAATTTCAGATTATGGATGCAAGATCTCTAATCAAGAAATACCAAAATGAAATTCGTCAACTAAAGGAAGAACTTGAACAGCTGAGAAGGAGTATTCGTACTGGAACCCCTATAGAAGACACCATGCAAAAGAAACATCATTTGTTGGAAACAAAAGGTGATTTTGGACTTATTGCATTATTAGTGCTTCGTGGTTTTGTTGGTATGCACTTTACCCATCATTTTTGAAAGAAAATGTTTACCATATCTATTGCCATCACTTGGGTGCATTATGCCTTTATTATAATCACCTATGATGCATTCAGTTCATTGGTGGATTCTTAATTCCTAACACAAGTTCATCACATGGAAAGCTAGAAGATTGTAATGTCAAGCTTCAATCTAGACTGGAACAAGGAGAAGAAGCTAAAGCTGCTTTGCTTGAGAGGATAGAACATCTAACAGAACTAATTCTGGTTTCCGCAAAGGCAAGTCGGACTACTAAATCGTCTCACTGCCCAAGGCGAAGACATTCTTTTGGTGAAGAGGAGGTCTGATTACTCAAATAATTTTACTAAATGTTATAATTCGAATGAACTTGTATTGATATTTTGAATACAGTGCCATATTTATTATATTTAGTACCTCAAGTTCTTTAAAGTTTGTGAGCTGCTTATAACTGCAGCTTGCATATCTCCCATATGAAAGGCAAGACATCATACTGGATAATGAAAGCAATATGTTGTTTGTTCCTATCGAAGGATTCGGTGAAAAATTTAAAAGCTCCCCCAAGGAGGAGACGGAAAATCAGAAAGGACACCTTAACTGGCTGAATCTACGGGTATGCACATGAATGATGTTTAATCCACTGCATTTTAAACACTTTCTATCATAGTGAAGAGTTGTACCATTTTTTTTCATGTATCACTTATATTAAGCTATGAAGGTTTCAGAGGAATGGTTACCTTTAAGGAATACAGGGGACTGCGAATCACATATTCACATCCTTACTAATGTTGCTAACTTCCATTATGACAATCCTATACTATGATAGTGTAACCTTGCATGTAATACTCATATTCCGTGGCCATATGACATCATTTGTTTCTAAATGATTATGCAAGTTGAATTCTTCAAATGTTCTTTGCAGATTTGTACTTAGATTATGGAACCAAAATATAATGATTGAGTTTGCTTTTGTTTGTTAGGATTCTTCCTCTTACTGACCTTTTTGTGATTTGACTGCATGCAGAAGTGTGATAGTGGTTCTACTAATCTGACAAGTTCGGATGGTGAAAACCCTAGTTCGACCAAATCATTACCTGCCCTTTCCACACCTCTGGGGATCGGATTTTTTAATGTCACATCAGAACAAAGGATGTCAGATTATATGCTTGCTGAGAATGTACCGGCTAATCTGTTATGTGTTGGCCATAGAGAATTTCCTTCTGACAGCCTTCCTGTCCAGGAAACACCTTTGGTACAAAATTTGTGCTCAATGATTTTTCAATTTGTTGCTTGACACCTAATGTTAATTTCTCATTAGCTGGACAGAATTTCTATGCCAAAAATATTTATAATCTGGTACTGATGTTCCTCTCTAGAACATTTTATTTTCAACTAAACACTGATTATTTTTTCTCAAAAATTTGCCTTTTATCTCACACTAGGGAAGGAATAAGTGAACCAACATTGTGTACCGCCTATTTCCAATCAGAGTAGGACTAAACTGAAAATTGTAAAGGTTGCTATCAAACATTCATAGAAGACATTCCACAATTTTGTTAGATTTTTTTAGAACATTCATTTTTTTTTTTTGTTAACAACAAGCGTAGATGTGTTTTCTGTATATACAAATCAGAAAGAATGGTTAAAGTTTGAGTTCAAGGGAGATTGGGAGAAAGAGAAGGCTGAGTAGGAGTAATGGAACAGCATGGCAGCAATAGTCTGGGACTCGGATTAATTATTTGATAGATGTACATTCTATTATAAATGTCTGAGCAGATATCTGTAAAAAATAGTGATGGCATGATCTTTTATGTCAAATAATAACAGGTTAGTAGAAAGACTTCAGATCATGTGGACATATTGAGAGAGCAATTCAATATTTTATCAGGGGAGGTTGCACTCCATCAAAGTGTTCTAAAGCGCCTATCAGAGGAAGCTGGAAAAAATGCAATGAATGAACAGATTGAGGTAATCTTTCTACTGTCCACTGGTGTGCTCTATGATATATTATTATAAGCGCTCTTGTTTTCTAAAATGTGTTTCTGTCTATGTTAAGATGGAAATGAAGGTGGTCAATGATGAGGTTAAGCTCAATAAGCAGAAAATAGCATCTTTAGAAAGGCGGATTTCTAATTCAATGTCAAATAGTCGAGGCATGCATGATAATTTAGAACTCTCACTGGTAATGTTTACCTGCACCCAAGTGTGATTTCCAACTTTGTGTTCTTCTAACTATATACATATCATATTGTTACATTGGTTTTGGCGTTGTGCAGCCTTACATTGAAATACCTGAGCAACTCAATGAGAAAGCGTTTCAACTTGAGGTGAACAAATTGCTCTTTTATGCGTCTGTTCTTTGGCAGTGAGCTTCATGCTCCTGGCTGGTAACATTAAAGCATTGTGTTCTCCTCTTAATGGAAAGATACATCATTCTAAAAAAAAGTATTAGATGGAATGGGAACTGAAGATAAGGTTCTTGTGGGACAAAATGGTAATACAATTATACAAGTACTCCAAGGATCTGCATTGATGAAAATAATAGCATTTCAAATTTCCATAGTAACATCATGCTAGGGCCTTTCCATTTAAAGTGGTACAATGTTGTCGTACTCCTACACCATGCAGTATCTACAGGAGGATATGGTATTATTGGCATGAAAGCACAAAAGGTAGAATTTTCAGTGTTCCAAACAGTGATTGTAGTGATGTACTGATGTTTTCGCAAACAGAATCTTATTTTCCTTCAACAAGATGATAGCAGTCACAAATCTGGCTGTTAATGCTGTGAACATTGGTTGGTTGTGGGTTTGAGGACTGAGGGTAGGGTAGTTGCCTTATGGCGCTTTCGCAACCAAGGCTGCAAACTCTGGTAGATACTCTCTTTAAAATATATATCTGCTTGACCTGTAAGAGATGCGGTTGAACGTTTTGACTACTAAGAAACCTATCTCTGTTATCAAGTAGATATCCTAATACTCTTATTTCGAGTTGGTTAAAGGCCTAAGAAAATTGTAACTAACAGCATAATTTTTGCCGGCTGTTTCTTATTTCTTGCCACCCAGCCCACCTTTGGAGGCTGCAGTTTCCAGTGCTTACATCTGCTGCAGTGCACCGCTTGCGACAAGCCAAAAGGCAAAAGCCTGTAGCAGCTAAAGATTGAAAATTTCATTTTCTCATGTAGATCTTTGATAGCCTGCAAATTTGTGCAAAGAAGTTTTGCTATAGATTACTTCCTCCGTTCTAAAGTATAAGCATTTTTTGTATGTATCTGGACATCCCTTCATCCAGGTACATAGCCAGAAATGCTTATATTTTGGAACGGAAGGAGTATTTGTTTCCGTGTTGTTGACTGTGTTGCAGAGTCATTTTATGTCTCCATTTTGAACATCACTTTTTTCTTTAATTACTGCTGGTAAAAACAGCAGACGGCAGATTAATGAAAGACGAGCAAAAGATGATTAGTAAAATTCGTGGAGCAAGACAAAAGCTTGTAGTATTACTTATAGTTTTCCCTGTTTGCTATCAGGCAAGTGAGTGCCAAGAGTTTCTGTTGTCAGAAAGAACCACATTTCAGCACAACACAGGCATTGTCCAAGAAACAGGATCTCAAGCTCACAAAGGAAAGCCATTGCCCAGTGATGTATCTGATGAATTTCTGAAAAAGGCGTCACAGGTTTGCCTTTTCTCTGCACTCTAGGCCTGCTGTCCTGCTTCCTTCCATTCTAACTTCAAGCCAGTGATATGTACTCCCTCCGTTTCATAATGTAATACTTTCTAGCATTGCCCACATTCATATATATACTAATGAATCTAGACACATATATATCTAGATTCATTAGCATCTATATGAATATGGGCAATGCTAGAAAGTCTTACATTATGAAATGGAGGAAGTATATTGTGATTCTCAGGGATAAAATCGAAATTAAACTGTTCCTCCAGCCATTTATTGGCTCATATTAGTCATATATCTTGTTTCTTTTCTACTGCTTTGCTTCATAAGATTGAGTGATTGACCAATGAGAAGCTTGTAGCCAGGTGATTGGTGCTCTGTACTTAAACCATGCTGTCCTGTCATGATGATGTACACTTGTGCTGATAATTAGTAGTGTTAGTATTCCTATGGGATGACATGGGAATTAGTGCTTCAAAACAAAGGCACCGGAAGTTGACATTTGTGGGAAGGTTTTATCATGAAATGTGTTAGCATCTAATACTACCTCCCTTTTTTAATAGATGGTGCCGTTGACTTTTAACATACTGTTTGATCATTTGTCCTATTCAAAAATTAAATGTAAATATGCAAAAAAAAAAAAGTCAAGCTTAAAGTTTCTTGTTGGATAATGCTACTTGTATTACCTAGAATGGTGCTCTTATGTTACACATTTTCTCTCCAGGCAGAGATTGATGAACTGAAGCAGAGGGTATCTGAACTCACTGAAGCCAAATCTCAACTAGATTCTTGTAACCATAAGCTTCTAGAGGAAAGTACATATGCCAAGGGCCTCGCCTCAGTGACCAGTGTTGAGTTGAAGGCACTATCAGTAAAAGTCACCAAACTGATGAAGCAGAACGAGAGGCTTAGCAGCGAGTTGGCATCAGGAAGAAACCAAAGAAGAGGAAGCCATGGTCCGAGGGGAGCTAGGAGGGAAAGCCACACGAAACGATATGAACCAGCTCGCAGAGGAGACATGAATGCTCTGGAGGCCATGCTGAAGGAGAAGGACCAAAGACAGGCAGAACTTCATACGAAAATTGAGGAGTCAAAACAGAAGGAAGCCTTCCTGGAGAAGGAGCTTGCCAATATGTGGACTGTACTGGCAAACTTGAAGAAAACCAGGGGAATTGACCAAGAAGATTTTGACTCCAAATACAATGGATCATGGGCCTGAAAGCACTGAAGCAGGTCGTGGTAGAAAAACAATCTTCCAATCGTCTGCTCTTCAGCAATGTATAGGCAGCTGTACCAGATAAGCAGGGTGCTTTTTTTGTACTCCATATAAGCAGCTGTACCTGGGTTCTTCTCCAGTCTGAAGTTTGCTGTCTGTATACTCCTGAAATAAGCTTCCAGCGTGAGTAAGTGCTTGTTGCTGGAATATTCACTGCTAACTGCTCCCGATTGATTTACAAATTACAAATGTGTGAATATATGTAAAGTAATGTAAACTATTTTATTTGTCCGTTCATCTTGTCTTTTGTCTTCAGTCTCTTTCACTAGGTTGCGTAAGCATGATATGATAAGTATACAACCAGATCTGGGCTTTGGAAGAGTGCTAGACTGCACACATGGTTTAACATTTGCCACGTTTTTTCTTTGTTTTGAGATCACGTTTTCATTTTCTTGTTCCGGTAAGAGAACGCATATACTTTCACTTTGATGCAATTTTCAACCTTACCAAGTTTTGATAAAGTTGCCAAAAAAATGTTAACATTTAGTTTGCTATTAAATTTTGGTAACTATATAGGAAATCCTGCCAAAATTTTAGTAAGTTACCAAAATTTTGGCAATGCCAAAAATTAGTAAAGTTTTTTTTTTCATCAAAGTGAACATGCCTTTATACTATCTTGTTTTTTTTAAGAATACTTTCCTGTTTCATAGTATTTTTGTAGTCATTCCGTGTTGGTTTAGTTGCAAGGTTTGGTACAGTAGAGATGTTTGGTTCCGTGCCTAATTGGGGTAATACCAGAATTTTGGTAGGACAAATAAACTTTGATAGCCCTCTTTACTCGCCTATCTTGTTCATCGGAAGCATTAACGCTGAACTTTTCCGTGGTGGAGATCAACCTTGCAGAAAGCGAAGCGGATGAACGATTGATCGATCTCGTCCTGTCGATCAAATTGCTCGCATTTTTCAACTTTCTGCAAGCACCGATCGGCCGGCTCGTGCGAGGCGTAGTACAGTACAAGGTGTCAGCGCGTAGACAAATACTTCTTCTATCCCATTTTAAATGCAGTTGTGAGTTTTTTATCTAACGTTAACTGTCAGTTTTATTTAAAATTTTTAATGATTAGTATTTTATTATTATAAGATAATAAAATATAAATAGTATTTTATGCGTGACTTATTTTTAAAAAGTTATATAATTTTTTTAAATAAGATAAATGGTCGAATGTTAGACACACAACCTATAACTACACTATAAAATAGAACGCAGGGAGTAATACAATTACCTCTGGACAAAAGATTGATGGTATGTGTGTATGTCTGCCTTGGCAACCGAAAGTCTTGCACTCAATTGACTTCCTTGCCTTCTGGTTTGACATAGCTACACGTTGCAGAGAATCAGCGATCTTGCGTTGTAACATCGGGCTCAGATGTGGCTGAGCAGAGTTGAGCTCGCAGTGTTCTTCAAACATGACGACATTGGGAACAGTGGAACGTGATCACGACAAGCACAAAAAAAAGTGAGAGAACGGCAGAATATTAAGCTCATTCCCAACCCAAAACCCTAAACATAGTTTCCATAAACTCTACATCATCAAGAAACTAGTACTAGATACTATTTTTCCAATGCAAACACCACTATTTCATATTTAACTTTAATACTACTTATCTCACATGATGTCTTGGATATTGTGTAGAAACAATGTCTCATGTAAGACATGGTTTTCTTCTCTTTCCTCATTTATTCACTTGCCACATCATTTTTTATTCTAGGTGGCAGCTTATTCAATGCTATGAACACTATCTATTTATTGGGTTGGGAATGGCTGGCGGTTAATTCAATTTGCTGCTGACTATTAGCCCTTGTCTGCAAGTGTTCCTGACCTGTTAGCATGTTGCTTTTGCTGGAGTAGTACTTCTATTTATCTTCAAACTTTAGTCATCTCTTTTTTTCAACATAAAATTTATAAATGCTTGAAATGGTGTTATAGGAGTACTATCTAATGGTCAGTGTGACAAATATAACCATGCGACTTTAATTCATCATAATCTAATAACCGAAAATTTAGTAGTAGTGTAGTACTACTACTCTATAATACAATTACTCTTTTGTGCTTATATATTATGTTACTCTATAATACGATGAAAAGTAGTATTATTTGTGGTTAGATGGCAATAGTTAACCATGACAATTATTCGAGTAATCTATAACACTGTACTACTCTGCATTGCATTTTGTGGGCCTAAAAGATTGCTGTACCAGAGAGTATAATACACCATACGTACACAAATAATACTGCTCTTTAAGGACCAAACGGGAGTCACTAATGAGCTTTTGTAAGCTAGGAATAATCAACGCATAATAATGATGAAACAAAGTGCATAATTAATCATTCTCCCCAAGAATCAAACCAAAGCTCCATCTGATGACAAAGATCCAAACCTTTTGCCATCACCCAAATTAAAGTACAACAACAACACCACACAATGGAAAGCCGGGCCCACTTTATGACGAGCATTCTCATGGTCGGCGCCACGCGTCGTGCAGCCATTGGTGGCACGTCAGCATCATCGTCAAGGAATGGAATCCCCCGGGCTCTCACCTCAAGCAAAGCTACCTCCATTCCATCGCTTTCGCCTTCTATATAAACCCCTTCTTCTCCATGAGCTTGCAAGCATGTGTGTAGCAGTAAATCTGCACAAGAAAAAGATTCAAGAACAGTTTAGATTTCAGAAAAAGAAGTGATCGATCGATTGATTGATTCTTGCACATGAGCATGGCGAGCAGTGGCGGCTACTACTCCTACTACAACGGCCACCAGCCGGCGCCGTACTACTACGGCTACGCGCAGCCGGCGAGGGTCGCCGGCGGCGGCGGCGTCGGCGGGTCGCAGCGGCCGTCGGCGCACGCGCTCCTCCTCGTCGCGACGCTGCTGCTCGTCGCCGTGACCACGCTGTACGCGCGGTGCGAGGAGGCGGTGGAGAGCCTGCTCGACCAGCTCCGCGTCCTCCTCATCCTCTCCCCGCTGCTGCTCATCGTCGCCGTGCAGGTATGGGCCGCGAGCGCCGCCGCCGCCGCCGCCGACCGCCGTGGCGCCGGCGGAGGCCTCATGTACCTCCTCGCGCAGCTGATGGGCATGGGCGACGGCGGCGGCTCGCCGTACGGCCGTTGGCACGGCGGCGGCGGCGGCGCGTCGTCGTCGCCGTGGGGCGTGGCGCTGGTGCTGGTGCTGGTGCTGTTCTTGGTGTCGTACCAGTCGTCGTTCCAGAGCTGGTGGTTCCCGCTGCTCAGCCGCCGATGAGAATTGCAAAAGCTCGTGCATGTAAAACCATGGTGAAAATATAGCAGAGGCTTCTTGGTTAATCAGAGCTAAGCTCGGTGACGATCGAGCTATATATAATTGAGCACAAGGGCGGAGCTAGAGCGAGATGGAGGGATGCCACTTGTTTAATTTACTCTGTTTTATATTAAGTTTAAGCTAATACGGGTATTTAAATTTGTATTGAGAGATGTGCACACATGATGAAAATAGGTTAGGTATAACTATATTTTTTCTTGACCGGGTTCCTGGGTACCCCCCTCAATACTCTAGCTCGAGCAGATGGCATTTGGGTGCCGTGTAATTATGCTTGTCCGATCTCCAATCATAGTAACTAAATCCAATTTACCTGTGACTTTCGAGCGAATTTCCGGTATTGATATATATACTCTTACATATTTACCTGAAGGGGTTTCTCCTATTTTTGGAGAGGTATCAAAACTAATTGTATAAGTTAGAATAGAATTGGGAATCCATCTTTATGACTTTATTATGTTCTAGATATTTTTCTTCCTTTTTTGAGAGGTATATGCATTTTGTACCTTATAGTGCATAGTGTTAGGAGATGTATACCTCCAGGATCTATGCACTATGAGTTATGTATACTTTCTACGCCTCCCGAAAATCAGAAAAGTGTTGGCCAACTATAAGCTTGTCTTTTATTAAGTTTGATTGTTCTTTTTTAACCTCTCAATCAGTTAGGAGGTATATACCTCTATAAGGATGGGAGAAAACATTTTCACTAAATTATGATGGCAGGTGAAGAAACGACCGGTTTTGATAGTGAAAGTATTAGTTCAACTTGTTTTCGACTCATTTTCTTCTTTGATTTCAACATGTTTTGCAAACTGCATAAAAATGTAACTATATATGTTAACAATAGTTGATGCAAAGCTACTACTTCTATGATAATGGTATTTGTAGTATAATTTTTTTGCTGTTATTGTTAAGCATATACAGTAACAAGACAAGATATGGTTATGTTTGTTAATGACATACTATTTGTTGTTTGATGCTAATTTATATATGTCAAACTCCATATAATAGTATAAAAGATGTCTTGTTACTTTATAAATATGTGGATAGGGTTGGGATTGGGATTGAGAATGAAATAGTCCCAATTATCCATCTCTTCCATATCCCTATAACAATTCCACCTTTTTATTACCTAGCTACATCCAGACACACGATAAGGATCTGCGAAAGTATATATGAATATGGTGAGTGAACTGAAAGATATAAGTAAATGTGTACCACGATGAATAAGGTGAGTGAATTGAAAGATATAAGTGAGTGTGTACCGCGATGAATAAGGTGAGTGAATTGAAAGATATAAGTGAGTGTGTACTGCGAGGAACAGTCAAAAGCGTTGTGGTATAAGCTATCTGTTCTTCTTTTTCTACCAGCTTAATTTAGTTTTTAGGTGAATTAACTAGTACATACAGCTCAATATGATATTATAATCATGATGTTTTGAGTTCAAATATCATGGTTGACACAATATTTCAAGCTTTTAGATGAACAATGGTAAGGTACATAAAAAAGGACCCAAGAATGTTCTAGGTCAAAAGTTCTTTGTTCTGCGTTATCTAGAATCTTCTTTTGTTGGCAACAGCACACAATTCTTGCCTCATCTTTTTCACTTCTGTTTATACTTATAAATCAAAATTTAAATTTTCAACTTAAATCTAGAGTTAATTTTGAGGTTTTTTCATCGTAGTTTATTTTTCAGCATTCGCTTTTAGATCGTTAAGAACACTTACATAAAAAGTTCATTTACAATTTTTTTTTCGTTTGCAAATATACCATTTGACTTATTTTAAGCCGTACATCCCAAGCGATACAAAGAAGCTCCTGTCTCCATCTTTTCTGGTGCTCTTTTTCTTTTCTCTGCTGAAATCTAGTAAAAGCTCTGGTATTCCGGTTGCGACTAGATATGATATGATATATGATTACCTCAGCCAAAGCAGAAAATGCAATTTTGATTCTCAAACACACTCTTTCATTACCTGGCTTTAAGCAGCATTACCGTGCGATGATGTTCTAGATTTTGGAGCCTTGGAATATTAATACGTACGATCAGGTCTAACTGAGCTTGATACCACAATTATACAGAGTAGTTAAAATTTTGCCTTGGAGCTTTTGGCATTTCTTTATTATGAGATAGTTGCAAGTTGATTAATCAAATTAGCATCGAAGATTACACAAGCATGCGAGGGATAGATATAGATATAGCTAGACTAAATAAAGGAAGGAAGAATCTTCTAACTTTTGTCAACAATGGTGCCGTCTCCTCTCTTTCGGCTCTCCTTGATAGGTGACCAAAGTGACTTTCTGCGCTAATCATACGTGTGGGGCTCTCTCCACACGTGCCACCCTGATCCCAGATATTCTGTGTGATCATGAGGATATAATCACTTCTCTGGACGATAAGACTGTTTTTTTATACGTGATGCTGTTACTATTCATCATATTGAATATATATATATATATATATATATATATATATATATATATATATATATATATATATATATATATATATATAAGTTATATTTAAAGTAACTTCAATAATAAAACGAATCACGAAAATAAATAAATTAATTCATTGGATCTTCTCCAATAGACGGCTCACATTCACTCATATGTATATCTAAATAAAAAAAATAGGGATTGTATCTCGTTTAAATGTGGTGATATCTAATCGATATTATGTGATACTTGTGATACTTACGATACCGGTTAGGTATTAGGATATAATATTTCAGATGTACCATTTCGTTCGAATGGAATACCGCACATAGCATTCCTCGTAATTAAAGCAAGTCCAGAGGTAGTTCTTAAAAAGAATGGTCCAAAGGGGATAAACATCAATTAAAATTCCCTTGGGTAGTACTCGACCATGATCATTCTATACACACAGAAATTCATAAATTTAAAATGGTCCATCATCATGTGGGGATCGTCGTACCGCAAAATCATTTTAATTCGATCTCTCCACTCTCCAGATTCGTAGCGATCGGCGATTCATTCCGACGGTGTACTTAACGCCTGCACGTGCTCTCGCGTGCATATCACCGGAGGATTCGTTGCCGCCGTGCGCTACGACGTTGAGATCGATCCGCTTCATCGTCGTGGTCGTCACGTCGTCTCACGGCGCGCGTCGTTAAATTTGTCTCGCCTCGTTTTGGACCGAATCTGCATGTTGGTTACGGCGCCACTGGGCTGGGCTCGGTGTTGCGCGCGCGGCGGAACTGGGCTTTTCTCGTCCTCGTTTCGGCCCGAAACTGCAAAATGTACAGACTGATATGCCGCCCTCCGGCCCAAGCACTAAGGCCTGAGCATTAAGGTTTTCGTTTTTCAAACGGTCAAACGATATATTTTATGAAAAAAAAACTTTCTACGTAGAAAGATACAAATTTATTTTTAAGTTTGTAGCGAGTAAAATTCGATTAAGCATGCACTAGTGGTTTTCTTGTTTTCCGTGTCCTAACTTTATCTTCATCTTCATTAGAAATGAACACCACTTTAAAATATAAAACCGTTAGAATTTACTGAAAAGGCCGTACGGTCCCTGAAATCACGTCTGGTTCCTCGAGGTAAGTTTGTACGCTAACAATTTGAAGTATATTTTTATGTCTCGACTCAAATTTATATTTCGATTTAAAATCGGGTGTTTTTATGTTTCTACGTTAAAAATTAAAGCTTGAAAACAAGTAGTAAACAACATCTTACGATGGCCCAGACGCATGTGGATTAAATCGCCAAAAGTCAACCAAGTTTGGCGAAGTTTTAATTGTTCGTGGATGACTTGCATCATCATTGTATGCGGGCACATGATGATTTTCCTGTTGGTTCAAGCTTCCGCAATCTCACTGGTCACTACTGTCCCCAGCTGCCATCCCTGATCCCTGTGTCCGCTAACCAGACCGCACAGCGACCGTCCGTCCCTTTCATTCCCCCGCATGCGTGATCCCCCATTCTTTCCGAGAAAAAAACCCGCGTGATCGCGTGATCGCGTGATCCGATCCGATCTCCAATTCTCCATCATGGGCTACGACTCTGACGCCGCGCGTTGCCTCTCCGATCTCGGTGAGTCCGCCCCTTCTCTATTCTCCCCTCCATGCTCCATTTTTTTTTTATTTTTTAGACCTTTTTAATTTTTAGTTTTGCAACGGGTAAAGGTAATTTTAATCATGTATACTGGTGGGAAAAAAATATAAAATAATAATAATAATAATAATGAAATAAAATTACAGTGACCTTTGGTAAAAAGATAAAAATATATAATCAATTTTCCATTAATTCCATTAGCTAAAAATAATATAATACGAAGTAGGAAAGTTATTCTCAAATTTTAGCAATTTTCAAAAAGCTTAAATAGAGCAAACTAATTATATAAATGAAAACAAATTTAATTACCTAAATAAAACAATTAGACCTGTAATTGAAAATCTGTTGCCGGTTTAGTTAAAATAAGCCTGTGGGTGTGTGTGGTATATATCTCTCACTCGTATGTCGTGGTCTTTTTTTTTACATAGAAAAAATGCCCGTGCGTTGCGACGGGTAATTAAAATTATAACAAATATAAAAATATTATATGATTAAGGTTTAGTTTCACATGATATGAGCTCTTTAAGAAAATATATTTATAATGAAATAAAAAAGTTCAGCTGAAGTGACCTAAAGTGAACTTGTTCCATACGGAGCATACACATGGTCCATGAGGCGGCCAAATAGTGTGGACGGCCTAGAAATAGAATCGGGGAGGAACAACTTAAGCGACCTAAAGTGAACTTATTTCGTGTGGGCGGTCTGGGAATGGCGTTCGGCCTGACGCGGGAGAAGCCAGAGCCGTCCAATCTGATAGACGGTCATCCCGACCTATATAAAAGTTCAACAGCCCAAACCCTAACCCTAAAATCATTTCCCCTTCCCCCTCTCTCTCAAAACAATGTGGCGGCGGCCCGACATACCGATATCCCTGCGACGGCGGTGGCGGTTCAGCAGCGACGGCGACATCCTCCCCTTTCGGCGTCGGCGTTTTCTTAGTGTTCTTGAATCTGATCTTGTATTCTTGTAGTAGTGTTTTCTTTAGAATTTAGGTCTAAACTTGATGCGGTCTCTCATTTTTTTTTCATTCTTTTCTTTTTTTTTTATTATTTTTCATCGGAGAGGGATTAAAGCGGGATCAATCGCACGTGCAATGGAATTTTTTTTATGGACGAAAACTATAACCCATAAGCCATACAAATTTTTTTAATTAGGTATATATAGATATTGAATCAGATTTTCCTTTTTTTTTTCATTTTTTTCGTCCTTTTTTCGTTACTACAGATGTCAGAAACGTCTTTAATTTTTTTTTACCGCGTCAGATATAATCAGATTCGATTTTTTTTGTCGATTTCTTTTTCACGCTTTTTTTCACGGGTGGACGACGG